TAACGCGAATGGCATGGTACTTTTGTCTACCGAGCTGGAATACCGAGTCGGTGCGATAACGCCATTACAAAGGTCACTGTCGTGACCCTCCCCCCTATCCTCTGCCGACAACGAGAAGAGTAGGTGGCTGACGGGGGGTCAGGGGTTGCCTACAACCTGCCAGTAATCACCCTCCGCGTCTCGACGTCGCTCTCTCCTGTATTCATGAACTTGAACGTGACCGTTAGTAAGTTGTATGCAACTTCATATCCGCGCGGAAAAAAAGATTATCCATAAGTGAACAAAATTGGCAGATAAGAACCGCGATAATTGGAATTTAAGGGAAAAATCTTTTTTTTTCTTTTTATTAATATGTTCGAAAATATTCAATATCGCTAAATTATATATATTGAGTATGTAAGAAAGAAAGGTTTTTGTTTCTTGCACTTCAATTACCGCGCCTCTCATTTGCCAATTTTGTTCACTTAGCTTGTTATTACTTTGATTTGAGTCTTTTATTTATACTTTTAAAAGATTATCCGTCGACCAGAAACGCGACTCCGAGTGAAAAAATTTCCTCGCATCCGAGAATTTAACTGTTTCTGTATTTTTAACATATGATATATATAAAGTGTATTTTTATTCACATAATATTAATCGGTTTCATTTATGTCATAGCAAATACTGTATTTATAGCAAACTATATTTTGATGATTCAAAGATAATATTTTGATATTAATTGGAAAAATGCTTTATTATAATTTTTTTATGATGTCTGGAAGCAACATGCATGGTTTTCTTTCGAAATGTTTTTCTGTTAATTTTTTTATCATTCTATTTTCTCTCTTTTGTAACTTAAAATACCACAAGCTTCACTGTAATGACACAGATAAGTGTCCTTAGAATTAAGTAGAATCTGTATTTTAAAATACAGATATATGAACTTATTACATTTATAGCATAACGTAACGTAAGTTTGGATCGATGATTGTTTAATTATATAGCTATATTTTTAATAAATTATATAGTTATATTTTTAAAAAAGGATGCTGAAAATATCCTCGAAATGAATTCAGAGAGAGAGTAATACGCAATGAGAAGTAAATATGTATAACGATAAAAAGAGGGAATAATTTTAGGAGCAGCACATATAAAATTTAAGAAACCCGAACGTGTTAATATTTTACCCGTATAACACTATCACAAATACATGAAAGAGATATCTTCTTACATTTTATTATCATTCTCTGTAACTTGTAACTTTCTCTGTTAAATTTTAAATCAATAAGTTTAAAACGCGGAATCTTCGACATCAAGAAAATAAAATCGATAAGAGAAACGAACATATTGTTGATTTAGTAACGATCTATTTTTTATTGTACGAGAATTCTTCAGTAAACGTTCGGAGAATATCAATATCTTCTATATTTTTCCAAGCATCTTATAAATAGCAATGTTACATAAATACGGGTCACATGTGCTCGATACTGGGATACGTGTATTTCTAAAGATACAATGTCGCGCAGACAATCTAGACAAACTACAGGTGATTCAAAATAACGTAAATTTTATCAGAGAAATAGAAAAACGTGAAGAAAATGCTAATGATGCGTATGCGATTTTGTTAAACCACTGAATATACATAATCAACTGGTTAAATATGCTCGTTCAAAAATGCAAATTTTATTATTTGTGACAATTATAATACAATTATAATACGAGTAAAATTACATGCATGAAGTGATACATTCATAATGAGACCGAGAAATTTTTGCCCACGCCCGCGTTAAACACGCAGTGTCAATCGATATGTATTTCAATTAACCATAGCTTTTCACCTCGCTCATCGCAACTGGAATACTCAACTAACTGTAATTTCCGAATTTATGAAATTTTCACGATTGTCATGTAACAAATATGCCTTCGATATTCAACAGTTGTAACTCTTACAACAGAAAGCCGTGTCTCGAAGTCTATCTGAGAAAGGAGAGGTCTGTCTGAAAGGACGAAATTGTTCTTCCTCTTCAGAAGTCTTGAAGAGGAACAACTGTGCTTCGTCCTTACTATTGACGCACCTCGGATATATGGTAGAGTAACTTCGAATGAGACGGGGTTTCTCCTATAGCTTTCTATGTATGTAACTTTATTGTAAGTTTAGAAGTTGAAACAACCTCTTGAGCTAAAGTGGGTGGTAGTGGATTTTTATCCAATTCTCTCGAAACTATAAAAGCCGTATGTTACGAAGATTGTTGTCGTTATTTAGATACAATTTATATCCGCAAATTTTCCCTCCTTCGTATTAAACGTCAATTTTTAATTACTTGTGACTATGATATATTCGTTTTTTACAGTTGTAACAATTTTGTACAATTAATCATCGCCAAAGGTGGCGTTTGCCGCTACAAGAAAGGTCAAATGAAAGCGACGTAATCTGACTTAAGGCAGGATACCCGCATTTTTGTCCTTCTCGCGGCTTAACCCCTTCCCACGTCATCCCCGGTGGGATTAAAGATACCGAGAATGCGGAACTTCGACGGTGAAGGACGCCGTGGGGCGTCGGAGGTTGACAGAAGTTTAATCCCCCGGCTGTAATTACGCTGTATTCCCGAGACTAAAAATATTTCGAACCCCGAAGGAGAAAGGAGGACCGCGCGCGCGGTCAGGATGTAAAGGACGGTCAATTAAGCACGACTTTGTAGCTTCGACTGGATTTCCCGCGTGATTTTCGCTCTCTCAGCGCTCGTCATTGCACGTATTGTTCATTTGTAAGAGAATCAAGCTCAGACAAGTAGACGTAGAATACAATTCACAATTGTTTTAGTCCTCTGAATCCGACGCAACTTGCAAAATTTAAACACGTCACGGCAGTAAAATTAATAAGTTGCGTAAAATCTACAAGAGCAAAATCATGGGACAAATTTCACAAGTAATCTTTTTTATATTATTATCATTATGTGAGATAAAAAAATCAAATTAAAACAGGAAGAGAATAAGATCGATAATCGTAGCATTTTTTTGTGTCTAGCCAGGTTATAATCTCTCGGGCGTAAGGAAATTTATTAATTTCATTATTCGATGGCATATTGGCGGAAATATAATTAAAATGTAATTATTCAATGTAAAACGACGGGTTGCGCACTCCGAATATTGTTGCAATATTACATTCGCACGAATATTACGTCAGACGGCAAAGTTTCGTTGAGGGCTCATTAACTAAAACCAATTACTGAGACGGACAGATTTAATTTTCCGTCGACGGTAAAATTAATTCAATGCCACTTTCATATTACTCATGTATTGGGTATTAGCGCGATAAATTTCACACAAAGAAGACCAATCCAATCGATGGAAGACGATCATATATCGGATAAAGTATCACGTTAGGATGTATTGAAACGGAGAGAATTAATTCTTTTATCAGAATAGATATATACATATAAGTTATATTACAAACGTATTAAAGTATCAAACAATATTGCACATTTTTTAGTTTTAAATTTATTAAAGTAATATTAAATATTTATTGTAGCAGTTATATATTAATTAATTATCTTGATCTCCTCACATTATTTGCATCAAAAATTTTCATAAGACATCAAATTTTTAAATTAATACATGCTAATAGATATCTAACATGTATGACGCACTACAGAAAATCTGATAGTATGATTATGTCAAGGAATCAATTATGAATTTAATTCAATTATATATTCAATAATTTATAAATATTGCACATAGATATATCATCATAAAATATATTTAATTCTCTTTGTTTCCCTTTGAATACTACGATTGCTAAATGCTAAGATATTTTGTCCTGCGATTTGTTGAATGGGATCAATAATATAACCGAACGAAGTTTAAAAGCGGCAGGAAAGAAAGCCAAACCAATAAAGAACAAATCAAGACAAAAACGAAACTTAAGAGTATCTAAGAAATGTCTTACGATAAATCGTAGTAAGGGAAAAAAGAATCTTTACCAATGCAAGGAAAAGAAAGAAGTAAATTGTTCCAGGCAGGAAATCGATGTATTGGTATTTTCTTTCCCACTTCAATGTCTATTCAGAGTCCTTTTATAGACTTCCGTGAAAGTGGGCAATTGAAAGTTTAATGGATACGAGCAAGTGAAAACGAAATTTTTAATTACAAATTTTATATAAGTATTGGATTAAAAAAATTAAATCATAACATTATAGTTATTAATTACGTTGTAGAAAAATTAAGCGAGCATTTTCAAAATGTGTAATTAGATCATGTTTTCTGTACATTATTATAAATAAATCTTCTGTATGTAATTTTATTATTATAATTATTGTTATTCTCTATTAATTAATTAATGATTTAGTATTTAATATTAATAGTATTATGAATAAAAAAATTATAATTTATGTTTAATTAAGATATTTTTTGTTAATTTTTATTTATTCTTGCGATTAAGCAGAGTACATCCAATGTTGGCCGACCATAATCGCACAAAATACTAATAGAAATCGATGGCCGGCTATGACGACACTTATCTCTTCTGAAACACTCTGCGACGAGTCTCTTCGAGGGTCACTCGATCGAAGGAACGCTTCGTGCTGTCATTGTCCCTTTTCAAACTCATCCTCGCTTTACTGTATGCAATAAAGCCGGTTATAAAGCAGGATATTGCAACAAAAAATCTCGTTCGTCCAAGTGGCCGAAGGATAATTGAATTGAGTTCGCGTATCGCAAAAAATTGAACGCTCTAGAAACGTCAGTTATGCATTAAAAGATGAAAGCTCAAGTGCTCTTCTATTTAAAAAAAGCCATGAGAAAGAAATTAAATAAATTATATAATAAAAGTATTAAGATACAAATTAATAAAATGTGATTGCCAAGCAAAAAAATATAAAATACAAAAAATATAAATATATAAATATAAAAATCAAGAATATTCATGTTATATTATAACGAAAAGAGAGGTATATCCTGCGTCCAGTTCTTTATTATTATATTGTTTTAGACTCAAATAGATATTTTATCATCTCATGTTACAGACGCGATATGGAGAACCGATCTGGACTGGATGGTGATACATCGCGATCGTTTGGTGTTACTAAGCTTCATGAATCCGATCGGCAATCTAAGCACCCTGACAGGCCCGATAACTCCTCAGCCTTTCGTAACTCTAATCCCGGAAGAAGGTAATAACGAGAACATCGATGAACTCACCACCTCGACGCCTGGTCTAACAAACATGGCGCTTCCTGATGTTGTCGAGACTGAAGAAACAACCACCTTGTTCTCAACTATTATCCATCCAATCGTCACAGATCCACCTTTATCCCGAACTACCTCGAGTCCCGGTGTAACTTCCAGCAAGAGCACTACGAACACTGAAGCGACTTCAACGACTTCGAGAACGACATTGCTTCCGAAGAATAGCACCGTAAGACGTCCAACCACGAGAACTATCACCAGAAACGGCGGTGCGAAGGGCAGATCGAAGGCGAAGAATCTCACGAGGATATCAACTACGGCGAAACCTTCCAGAGTCGCTGGCTCGGGTAATATGACGGCTCAGAGCATGTCATTAACGATGAATAGTCTGGCGGATCTCGATCATCCCGAAAATTTGAATCTGGAACTTCAAACAGGTAAATCAGTCATCGATATCGTATTGTATCTTGATCGCTCTCTGTCCTTTGAAGATTATTTTGATGCAAAAAATATTTTCGAACAATAATAAAATTAATGAATATGTACGCATGATTAAAAACGGTAAAAATAACTAGTGCATTTACGGAGGGAGTGATAAAATATTTTATTTCATCACGATGGTCGCATAAAAAAGTCATAAAGCAATTAACAAAACAGCGGAAATTGAAAAAGAGTGATGCATATTTTTTTGCAATGGCTTATAAAATATTTACGCTGGAGTTATAGATTCGACTCTCTACGCGCCGTATAATGGGAATAAATATCGCGAAAATATTCGCTCGCGACAAAAAAATTATATTCGGCGTACTTCGTTTTTCAGCCGAATCATACGGCCCGATTACCCTGGAATATTTGAATTACGCCGCCGCGCTCGGCGTCTACTCGGTAAGATATCCCGCCGTCTTCTGGTCGTGCAACAAAGCATTGGGTACAATTTTCAGTCTGCAGCTGGTCGTGAATTCAGCGCAGAGTCTCCTGGCTTATGCCGGAATGTCCGTCCTTTATAAGGTAAGCAACGCAAAATATTCAATGCTAGTTAAAACTCGCAGGAAACTTACTAACGTTTCACAATCGGCTCGTTCTTCTCGCGCGAATACCAGAAAGCTTATAAGCTAAAACTCAATAAAACGTTAAGAATTCCGAGAAACGCAAGTCTTGAGAAATATATTATGAAACAAAATGTCTGCGTCTTGTCTGAAAGACCAGAAAAATTGACGAAAAAAATTGAAGAAGAAATTCGCTAAAAATATCAAAGGGGAATTTAAAACTATCCAAATTAAAATGTGATATGAAAAATACTGATTTAAAAACGCGTGCAATTTTATTATTATGCAATATGTTAATACTTGAGAAAATAATCTGTCAAACTTATAATCGGGAAAGAAGAAGAAAAATATATTCGGTTTAGGTATTTGCTCTCTCGCATATTTTGCGCTAACGATTTCTTCAAAAAATGTATACATGTTTTTAGATTCAAGTGGTAGGTCCCTTAAAGGTTCTGCCATTCCTTCGGCATCGTACGGTAGCAACAACAAGTACAATCTCGACAATATTCGGAGACTCATACTTCGTGCTGGACCCCCCGGTAACTCTTGTGCTCTTCGCCCTCTCATCCTTCCTCGTACTCTGCTCCAGCATGGTCATGTATTTCTACGCCCACGGCAGGTAAATATTTAGCGTGAGAGCTTATTCAACCCGCATCTCATCGATTAAACCCCGGTAGAGATTACCTGTCAGGTTCTTTCTTTTGCGAGGAAAATTATCTGGCTCATCCACCATTATCAGATAAGAGTAAATAAATGAGTTCGTGCTCTTTAGATTACAGGAGGATTATCGTACCAAAACCAGACGCTTATCAGTTAATTTCTTTTTTCGTGGAACATTTTTAACACTTTATTTTGAAACGTAAGAGCATATTTTTGCATAGCATTATATCTATATTTATTCCCTTTAAAAAGTTCATGCGTTTTGTGCCTCACTTTTTTACCATTGAACGCAAAAACAATGCATTTTTATCGTGGAATTCAACGACCCTATAATTTTTGCTTTCCATCCAGCTTTTATTTGACTTGCTAATTCGTTAATTTGAGGACTTGAAATACGCACAAGGCAAGCGAGCCTTCCGATACTATTATTATTCAGTATAAAACTCAATAGATTCTTCTCTTAATACTTTTCGATCCTTCTTTCTCGACTTGCCGCAGCATACAACAAAGGATAGCAATTAACAATCTCGATACCGCAGGATATCTCTTTACTGGCTTTGTCTTTGAAAGAGGGAAAGTTGCAATTTAATTCAAAAAATTTAATAAAAAAATAGAGGAGCAAAGAAATCTGTGTTAGAGAAGTAGAAGATATAAATTATATTCAAAAAAAATTTAAAAAAAAACGGATTTTATCATATATAATCCAGACCAAATTTAATTCTTTTTAAAATTTGAGAAGTGCAGCGAAATATAATTTTATATCTTAACATAGTGATACTTAATAACTATTGATATCAAAATATAGGACTTTCAAAGTGTGTCTACTCAAATTTTATAAAAAAATCCTCTGATTTTCTAGATATTTTTGTTCAAAATTCCAGATAAAGCGAATATTTTAAAGATTTTTTGTTGCCAATTTTTGAAATGATTTTTTTATTGCATGTATTTTCTAAGTTCTATAAGTATATATAATTATAATAAGATATATATATATATATATTTATATATTTATTTATTTATAATATTATTATTTATAATATTATTTATTTATAATATTTTAATCACATAATTAACTTGGCTTGCCGATTTTTTACAATGTGAGAGCAAAATTATCAGAGGTAAAATTTTTCAAAAAATTTCCTGAGTTCCAATAAAATTCCAAAAAATTTCATAATTTTTCCAGGTACAAAAGAAATCCCTGACAATTCCAGGAAAGATACCCTGAAATGGCTCGTTCATAATTTCTTTTGCGCTTCGTACAACTCAATCATATAAATATAAACGATGATAAAGTAAATACGAGTATAACTTGATGATGCAATGATACGCAGGTTCACGGCATTCCTGAATCAGGAACGCGAGCGTCGTGTGATCCTATCGAAGGATGGCCGTGACGGCAACGGCTGGGTCTACTTACCGCACTGTGCCGCCCTGGTTGTATTCCTGGCGATCGCAATCTGCGGCGCCCCGTTACTCTACGACTACACCGTGGTGTATCGCGGTAGCTTGGACGGCGCCATCCTCGCCTGCATCATCGGCACGATAGTCCATCTCTTCTTCTGGCTGTTACTCTGGATATTTCTCACCGTCAAGCAGCGCTGGACGTTCAAGCTGCGCGTGACCATCGGACGCGCCACCGTGAGATCCGCGAGATCGGTCAAACTCGTGACCGACGTCGATCTACTGTCGACCAGGGATGACGACGACGGCACCAGTGCGCCTTTGCTCGTCGTCGGTAACGGCAGGACTTACACTATCGCCGACACCTCGCCAAAAAGAGCCATCATGAGCGTCATACAGAAAGCCGCTATAGAGAGGAAAGCCCGATCGCAAGGTAAGGAAACAGCAGCGAAAGTGCTTTCAAAATTCAGAATAGTCTGCAAAAATGATTTAAAAAATGTTATAGAGTTGGGATATATTATCTTTAACGTGGGACATTTTTGCTTACTCATACATATTGAATAGAAAGAAAATATTTTATACAGCTGCTACCGGCTATATTTTATAAATTATATTTTTAGAAATAAAATGAAAATAAAATATAATGACAATTATTTTTATAGAATAAAAAATTATAAAAATACTAATTGGCAATATTTCCAATATATTTTTTCCAGTATATTTTTTCATGCAATGATTTTTTTCACGGAACTACTTCTTTCTTTTATTTCTTCAAGTGAAGAAAAATAGTGGCAGATGTCAAGCAATCAGGCGTCAAATAGAATGAACCGTGGGGATTTGAATCCTGATCGATGAAAAGCACGTGCGGCTAATATCCGAAAGGGATTCATTCTCTTTCCGCGTTCGTTGCAGGTGGAAACGTCGAAGGAGTCGACGGCGAATCGACGGCTGACGGTGATGAGCAGATTTACTGGCTTAGGCCGAAATTACGCCCCTCACCTGCGCAATCCCCGAATGACACCGGTGGTGCACCGACGTCCGACAAGGGTTGGCTGAACAAGAAACTCAAGCATAAGGTCACCTTTAACGACCTGCCTAGTACGTCAGGCTCGCGGTAACTACCCTCCTCCCTCCTCTCTCTTGGTGTCTTTGTGTATCTGTTTCTATGCTTTCATCACTCTGTCCATGTTACATTTGTAATACAAGTAACGCTTTTATACATTTTTTTTACCGTGCTTAAAGTATTCGAAACTAAATTTTTCCAACAAACGTTATTAATTTGTAGTCATATCTATTTCTGCCATATTTTCATGATGAAAGATTACTGAGTACATTAAGTATAGCTGTATGTGTGTTAAAAGGCTTAGATCTTATTTCGATAAAGCATGATGTATTGAAAACCATGCTACAAAATTCCTAAAATATGATTCGTTCACATTATTATACTCTCTCACAATATCTTCTAGTTGTTGTTAATGTTCCCAAATTTTTTTATCTATAATTGAAATTTATTATCATGCGTGTAATAGTGTACAAAAAAATTGCAAGAGCTTTTAAAACTTTCTTTATGTATTCATATCTTTATTTCGTTTAATTTACTATCTCCATGTCACCTGGTCACCCCCTTTCTCCATCTTTCTTCAACTTCTTCAGCAATCGTTGTATAATCGCATGAGATCGCAGGACACCTTTCGAATGCCATTTCTGATTTCTAGTAATAAGGGAAAAGCCAGACGAGGCGTCGCTGACGGCGGGCCTGACGATGACGGAGATTACGCCACGTTACGCGAATTACCGTTAATCAACTCGATAGACCCAGCCGATGATACCACCTCTGAAGAGAACAAGGTAAAGTATCCTAATCTAATAATGTAAGTTGACTCATGAAAAAAAAGTATTATTAGTATGATTTTATTATTTTCTTATATGTGAAGCACTAAATTTTTTCTTTTTACATAAAAATCTATTATTAAAAATTACAAATTTTAATGAAGCATTTTTAACAATTTTGTGATTCAAGAAAGAAATCGTTGCTACTTATACTCGTTACTTATCATATTTTATTGCACCGAGTACGCTTTTATCGCACTTTCTGCTACTTTTAATTTAAAGATTTTTTTTGCATTTGACAGTGGCAAAGATGGCCGATAAGTCGTAGGGATGGTATACCTAAATTCAGGAATGTAAGATATATATAAATTTTTTTTCCTGTGCTTTGATGTAACATGAATTTTAACTGGGTGTGCGTTCTTAACCGTCTACTAACAAATTCTGTAATAGACGTGATTTATAGAATTATTAATTTGAATTATTATTTATTTAAATGAATGTACACAATATAATAATTAATTAATAGATTTTTCTTTAATGATTATATATTATATTATTGAAAAAAATATTACGTTTAATAATAGCTTTATAAAATAGCTTGTATTATTAATAGACATAATAAAAAAGCGATAATGAATATTCTATATTCGGATCTTTTGCAGATAGGGCTCTCGTTTTTTTAATATATCTTTAATTAATATATATGTATGTATGTATACTGTCATTTTTAATTAATATGTGCGATTATACATAATCATAATCATACATGTATATATATATATAATTTTTTTACATTTATACATAATATAATATAATTACACAAAGCTTTCACAGCTTAGCAATTAGGCAATAGTAAAAATAAATAGTTGGCAGTGTTGTTGCAACATTTTAATTTTATACAAATACATGAAAATACTTTTCCAATTTTTTTATTTAAAAACTAATAGTTTTAATAGTTTAATAGTTTAATCGCATGAAACAAAACGTTAGCGTGCGAATACTAACAGTATCGCCTTTTGACAGTTGCTCGAGTGCGTGAACGACGATCAAGTGACTTACTACGCGAGTGCGAATCGCGATCTACAACCATCGGAAGGTGATCCCTCGCCTCTTTTGACTCCCGATCCTTTACCTGATCCTCCGGAAGAACCTCTTCCGCTACCACCTCCAACTCCAACCTGTGCACCAACCACCGATATTATCACGGCGCCACTAACTACAAGTGCCCAGGTACTAACAACCTTAACCGCGCATTGTCTAGTCCACGTAGACGAAGACACGAGATTGTCATTGCACTGAAGATATTCGACATTAATTTAAATATTTTCAATTAACTAATAATCATATACATGTAAAATATTGCATTATGTATTTATTTACTGTTAGATAACATCATCTAAATCCATTTCTCTTAATAAACCTTAATTAGAATAATTCTCGTAGAATTTGTGCATCGACAATCTCACGACAATCTCTTCATCGCATCGTTCAAGACTCTGCATGCAACTCCATATTATCCTTATATCCTATATGTAGCCAAAACCATGAAAAGATTAATAGAAAAAGAAAATGTAATCAGAGAAAGTAGATTGCAATGTGATTATCTCAATGTATCTTTGCATCGTCTTTCCATGTATTCTAGTTCTATATGTTGCCATTGCTCGGTATCATAGCAGAACCGGTCATAAATCAATCTCCGATGATATTTTCCAGATGAACGGTGGACAGACGCCGCGATGTCTACGCCGCGCAGATTCGGGGATGCCGCACGACGAACTGACACCACGCTCGGACTCGTCGAACTCTCCGCCCTTGGACGCGGTGGGTGGCGGTAACGGCGGCGGGGCCGGCTCGGTGACCGGGCACAGCAACACCAGTAGCAACAGCGAGACGTCGAGCGGCGTGCACAGTAACGCGAGTAACGCGAGCAACGCCAGCCACAGCAGCTCCCAACGTCGAGCGACCAGCGTGGACGACCTGACCGGGGAGCCGCGCGAGGAACCGCGCGAGCAGTGGCGCAGCTGTTCTCTTCAACGTGGCACCCAGCCACCCACGGCCAACACGACCTTCTCGCCGCCCAGTAGCCGCCCTGGCACCAGCCAGTCCTTCTCCTCGCCGCAGTACGTGAATCACGTGCCGCCGTTCAGCAACGTCGTCGGCAACGAGATTGGCGTCGGTTGCCCGGCTGTCATCCTCGAGAATCCGAATGAGGCGACGGTTGTGATCCGTCGCAAGCTCTCGAGAGCGAAGCTCACGGAACCGCTGAACGCCAACGAGGAACCGTTCGGCCGATCCACCAATATGCGAATGACCTCGTTCACCGAAAGCAACGACATTCGCATACAGGCCTCGTCCGCGACCCTGCCGCATTATCCCACGCAGCCTATCGTCACTTATCCGCACTGCTCGACGATGCCGTTGCCGCACGCGTCTCACAGCGTAGCCGCGGCGAACATGAGCGGTGGGTCCACCGGTAGCTGCGGTTCCGTGCCGAGGCATACCTTCGTGCCACCGCAGGTTCACACCACCATGCCGGCGCACACGACGTTGCCGTCGCATCACAACGGCGTCAGGCTGCTCCACAACGCGACCGGCAATCCATTCGTCAAGAGATTCCCACCGGTGCAGTTGCACACTCAGTCCTGGGCCCTGCCAGGTCATCATACCTTCCCACAGATGCCACAGAGTAATAACAACAAGCTCACAGTCACCGCGCAAATCCGACAGAGCGACCGGGACTCGGCCAACTTCTCCATGGCCAGCAGCGGGGACTCTGACACGTGTTTGCCGCATTAAAATGCGCGGGACTCGCTAATATAGGTGTTAGACATTACGCTGCTGAGAACTTGAATTACGTCTGAGTGTGTCACAGTGATACTTGGTATTTTCGTAATGACATTTTGCTCTGCTGATCGATATCGAAGGGGTTATAGTTTCCAGGTATGATACGGTATCAATATCACGATGTCCTCCAAGGGCTTAATTCGGAAATAAAGGAGAAATGATAGAAATGTAACAGGCAGGTAGAAAAAAGATTTTTGCGCAAACTCGAGATGAGCTGTTGTGAATATTTCGCTTTGAAATCTTTAGGACTCACGCAGAATTGTACTATTTAAATGTACGTATTTAATGTATCGCATTACCAGGTAATCTTATTAGAAGAAGCTTTTATGTATTTTATATCTCTTGCTCATATACGTAATGCTGAAATTTAAAGGAAAGAAAATCAGATTAAGATTGAAACGACATATCACCATACTTCTGCCGTTTATTAGTAAATATGGCATTCCTCGATACGTGTTACCTCTATTTTTTTACAATCTGATCTAACACGATCTAGATCTCGATAAGATCTCATCTAATTATTTATATATAAGTATGTCTATGATATATTAACATAGAATTTAATATGCGTAAACCATGCGCTAACGTAAAAATTCCATTTATTTGAGTAAGCAATGTGCGTGAAAAAGACAAGGAAAATATAAATATTGCGCAAGTAGCTTATATAAAGATATAATAATTGTAATTTAAAAGCACCAATTTCGTTATACACATACATATCCCATACGTTGTGATTCTATTTTATCTAATCTTTAATCATGCAGCAATAAAAAAATATCTGAAGAAAACGGAGATAGTAATATAAATAATAAAATAATAGATATTGGTTCAAAAAATTCATCCTGGTTAATGCGAAATACTGTTAAATCGTGCAACAATAAATAATCATGCAAAACTATTACATAATACATTCATATGCAATTTAAAAGAAAAATTACGATTAATAATAAGTATATCATAATAATAAATCTCTACTTGAGTTTGCGCAAAGATCTTTCGATAAGTGTCGAACGCTTACATTATAGTGCTTATATAGTTAAAATCAATCTTTTCCATTATATTATCTCACGGGGCAGGGTGTTCGATTTACCAAGAAAATCAGCGTCATGCCGTCATTTAATGCCGAAAATGGCGAAACGGCAGGCGAGAGTGAGAATAATAATAGTTATCCCATTTTAGATATGAAAAAAAGTTATCGTGTTGTCCTAAATAAAATTTGTGTATAGAGTGAATTAAGGATTAATTGATTAAGAAAAAAATGTGAAAATAACTCGGGTCGCTCCTTTGTAAGCTTTTATATTAATAATTAAGATCTTTTTTCTACCGAAATACAATTGTAAATTTTGTTAAATCGTAATTTGTACACACATTGCTAATTGTTTGTTTATACAACGACTCTAATGAGTCAGTTATATGCGATATAAGATTAAAAAAAGAAAAGTATTCTCACGAATGCACATTCAAACTATGCGCAATAATTATTATTTTTTAATTCGCTTTTGATCATTATTTCTTTTTTTTCATAGATTTAGTATATCAAGTTCGTCATCAAGATAAATGTTTATTTTCTACGAATTGTATGTTTAAGTATTTTTTAGAAACTATATAGGAAATAATACATGTTAAACGATTTTATATGAGTTACTATAAAATGCAGTGCAGATTGCAATCGTACGACTCTCGACCTTGATAGATTTGCGGTAAATTACAGAAATATACCGTTATATTAAATAGCCGTTATATATAAAATTAAATTTTTATGGCTTCATAACGTATAACCTTCCGCCTTCTACAGTTATCGTGTCGTACGATTTGCGAAATCAACAGTGCCATCGAAATTAATAAGCACACAATTAGCATAAATCAGAGAAAGGGAACTATATATATAATGTATGAGTAAAAACTGGAGATGATTTATCGCGAAAATAGTGTGCGCTATTTATTTATTTGTGAGCGTTATAATTCTATTATTTATTATAGAAAACTTGCACAAAATGCACACACTTGCGAAAAAAATTTCGTATATCTTATTTTATCTTTTCTCATATATTTCATCTGAGATGTCTCTCTATCTGTTGATATTATTTAAGTCAATACAACGAGTATTTATTTAACGCCTGCGAATATATATGAAAGAATCGTTAACACACTATAAGAAGAGAAAGACAGGCGCAATCTATGGCAAATGAAACGATTACTGCCACAATCGTGAAGATCTACAGATCTCCATTATATGTATATTTACTTATTTCATCAACTGCCATGTTATTTCGTCCTTTCGTGAATATAAGTAATCACTCGTACTCGTTTACTTGTACCTAGCATTTACTTGTGCGCATGCTATGAGTACATGCGTAAAGAAAATAAAAAAAAATAAAGCATAAGTTCGCCAAGTTGCGTTCTTTCGCGACTATATATCACTTTATGAGACGCGTAATGGCAGAGACTGGTCTCGCAAAGACGCATTAAATCCTCGAATCTTTCCTCGCAATCTAATGTAATAAATATCGCATATATTATGACGCAACGTTCGTTTCATATCCTCCGCTTTTCGACATTTCTTCCGGAAAGATTGTGTTCGAAGTCAATATTACAGATCAGTTTCGTACTCCTATTAAAGAAATGTTACATCTCATGGCAATGATAATGCATCTTTGAGTTGTAATCCTTTGTACTAATGTTAATATAATTAAATGCGACTTTTTCAAAACAAAGACGAATTCGATTATATATAAGCCAGCGAGTATTGACTTTTCGTTAGATTGCGATGAGCTAAAAAGGGATGAATGGAACTTTAACGTAAGTTGAATTCAGACAAATGGAGTTACATTGCTTCAGTTAAAATCGAAATAAACCATGCGATATGTAATTTATAACAATGAGAAATATTAAACGAATCGACTGGTTTAAAAATTTACTTGAATAATACATATATAATTTATGTCAATTTATAAAATCGATATTACTGTACATCAGATGTTATCGTACATCAACTTTGTACAAACATGTGCGTAGCATTTCTTGAAACAAATGAAACAGTACATTTATACGATAAATGCAAAACACTTTTTATAATCTTCGATATAATGAAAACATGAACGCAAGCGATAAACAAATAATATGCGATTATTTGCCGGTATAACATTATGACTGTTAGCGAAAAAGAATTACGCATTCCGTAAAGATGACTGCAACAATAAAAGGAAAGTATGAGCATTCATAAGACATTATTCAGAATTCATACTTCGAGATGAGACAATGCAATATGAAACCAAATGTCTGTATTTTTCAATATCTTCCAGTTGTACTAGAAATAGCAGCGTTCCCAGCCTTGTTCATAGAATATTTCTGTTACAAATTGTTATGCGAGTAGATATATTAATATCTTACAAGATCGTAGACCTATTCTGGAAAATTTTGCGCTTTCCATTTACTTAAGATGTGCGAGAGAAAATGTGATGAGTAATCCGAGTGCAAATCTAGTGGGTTGTAATAATTGACTTTAATCACTGTATCAAGGAGATACTCTTCATTCTATTACACTATATTAGCATCTAAATATTCACGTGAATTCACTATTCACGAGATATCGAATAATGCAGTTAAATTTCAAGTCTCAATTTTTTCTAAAGCAGGAATATACGTCTTGTCTTGTAAGATGTGGAAAGTACCTATCAAAGCACAAGAGATCGACCAATTGATCACGAGCGGCAAGTCAGACATTTTTATACGATTTAAGAACGAGCGCTTCGTCATTTGCCGATCGTACATATCATCTCGCAAGGACCATGCATTTCGCGAAGACATTTATGAGGATATTCAAGCAATAGCACACGAAGCATCAATCAAGGGCTGGACCAGACTTCTTAATGATCAATGAGCTCTAATAATACTCAACGCAGTACGCGACATATTTTTTAATGGCTATTTTCAATACGCTCATAGACGAGAATTTTCGTAGGAAGAGTTTTGGAAGGATCTTTATTCTTGTCTTTCTCGGTCATAGATCCCGATGTAGTTTAATAATGCTCTCTACCCTTGATTCTGTTTCAAAGTAGGTACTTAATGCTAGAATCAGGTATTTTTCTCAATGCAAGTACAAGTCACTTTTTTCCACAAATCCGTTTCAAGAAATCTTCGTTGCAATATATATTGTTATTTTTAATCAACGTGTTATAAATAATTTTCGATTTAAGAATATATAACATTATTCATTATTTTTTACATAATGAAAAAGAGATTTAAACAAAGATTTCATTATACGTAAATCAAATTTTTTCCTTTAATTTCTGATTTTTAATCATTTAATTAATTATTCATATTATTTTATCAGGGTCTACAATTTATTTTGAAAAATGTTCTTTTTAATTGTCTGTTTATATATAAAATGAAACATTTACTCGAATCATTTAATGTTATTAATATTTATAATTTGTCAAATATTTAACGAAGATTTTTTGATAGCGCAAGCACGTGTACACATAATTGATCACGCCGTTGCAACCGTCGCTGATTCAATTTTTGAAGAATGCACAAGGCAGTAGTAGCACCAAGAAAGAAACCTATCTTTTGATAACTGCACCAGAAATGCGACGGATATTGCTGCGGCGTAATCGCGACGACTATCATAGAAAATAGTTATCGTCGACAAGAGGACACGCATCTCTCGATATATAATAATATTAAAACATATTAGCTTTACTTTGGTAAAAATTTGAATTGAAAATGCAAAATTTAATCTATTTCTTATTATTTATTTCATATTAAATGGAAGAGTTATTTTCTCATCTCACAGATTCGATAAAAAAAAATTAAGTTACTTCTATTATCTCTATATTTCTTACCATCTCTTCTCAAAAACTAATTCATATTTCATTTTTTATTTGCATATCTAGAAGTTTTTCTAAATTTACATATTTATATCGATAACTCGTACATCTATGTCTAAATGATTTCCAGAGATGCATCCCGCTTTCGATGATGTTGCTTCGTTATACTTGCATTAAAATCACGTAGTCGATGCCGACGTATGCGAGAAATCGCGGCGATGAGATACAAAAGCTGCCTCTCGCAGAAATATTTTTTTACCGTCTAGTGTCAGCGACCGTACTCTAATTCGTTTTAGATCCGGCTAGAACCTAGACGTAGATATGTGACCGTAGGCAGTCGAGGAAGGCTCCGCACCGGGGGCGTTTCGGAAGCAAGGAATTATTGCTATTGTCATGACAGACAGCCTTGAATCGCTCGTATCTTAACCCGTCGACACGAGAATTTATCTTAACTAGAATATGATATATATTCAATTATCAGTAAAGCACTTTCGTATCGTGCATATCATTTTAACACCGCAATAAAATAAATAGTGATGATTTATCTAGAAATTTTCTAGCAAAGGACAATTATTTTAATAGTTTAATAGATACATTTTAATTCTTATATATATAATATAAATAGATTTTCATTTATTTTTAAAATAAATATTTAACAATATTAAATCAAAATGAGAGAGAAATTTCATGAAAAATACATAGGATCCATATGATTTTAATATTTTTATATGAAATTTAAACTCTCCTATTTTTATCCCTCCTAAATTTATAAACTCTCCTGCACACAGGATTAAGAATACGAAGTGATATTAAAAGATTAAAAAAATGGCTGATCAAAATATTTTTTTCCTATTATTTAATCATTGATCATGCGAAATCCTTGGTTCCACCACAGCAAGAGCGTTGAAGAAAGAGCCGGTCAGAGCCCTCCAAAAAGAGTCGCGTCCCAGGAACGTGTGTATAATCGCGAGAGAAAGAGAGAGAGAGAAAGAAAGAAAGAAAGAAAGCGCTTAATCGATGTGTCATTATCGACGGCTCTTCCGAAATACTTGTAAATAATTAAGAGTCGTGTCGAGAGTGAAGAGAATCGCGAGAGTGCGAATGTATGCGTGCGTGCGAGAGCGCGAGCAAGACGGACACATATACAGCGAATGTGTACGAATAATTGTATAAAGACTGATTAGATTAGCCTCGGTATTTATTCGAACTAAACGATTGTAAACGCTACCGCTTTGCGCGCCCCAAAAATACTCACGGAGCACGATGTCAAAGTTACTTTCATCCCCGCGGAGTAAATCTCGTCTTTTTTTCCCCTTTTAAATGGAAAAAATCGGACGTGCACTTCTCGTCACGTCATGCTTGCGAGATTTCCTTTTTCTCATTTGTTATCGTTTTCCGATTCCTGAGAAATTTCTGCTGGCCTACTTTATAGATCCTTTTGACCCGGAGAACATTCCTTTTCTCTATGTCTGTGCAAAGTGTTCGCTTCATGTATTTTGTTCAATTGCGTATATTTTCGGATGCAGCCTCGACAGATTCGGAAAAATAAAAGAGTTTCGCGAATGAGTCTACTAGTTATTTTTTGTACACTGTTTGATTTAGATCTTTTAATAACCGACGATCTCTCCGACATGTTTTGATCATCGTGCTCGAATATGTATGAACGCAAGGGCAGAAGGAAGAATGACACGCGCGATTATTAACAGCGACATTTATTATCGTCACAACGTATCAATATTATTCAATGCATCGTATAAACCAATAAACTAAATGTAAACTTTGTATATTCATTTACTAAGAGAATAAAAGTAAATTATTCACTGATTCGTACAAGATATTTTCTACTCCTCGATCAATCTTATAGGAATTACAAAATTTTATTTTTACTGTAAGAGTACATATTTTTACCGGCAAATTGCAGTGATTACAAAATAATGTGAAAATTCTAATTATTATTAAATATTCACAAGTTTTCCATTAGTGCCCGTGCTCTTTTTAATTCTGAAAAAAATACGAAAGACAAAATATGAGAAAGAGAATATTTTGTAATAATTGTATTAAAGTCAAAAATTCAAAAAATGAATTTAAAATAATAAAATTAAAAAAATTAATTTTTTTATTCACGAACATAAAACTTCGTAAAAATTAAATTATTAATATATAATACATACCTTTCAATAACACTTGTACATCATCTTTTGAGATATTTATAGTGGAATCTTCTTCATTGCCGTCTATCTTTTTCAATTTTAATGTCACTGTCGAAACAGGCGAACTACTATCGCAAGGTAATACTTCAATGGAGGATAAGCGACTGACTAAAAAAATAAATTCGACACACCTAAATTAAATCATTTGAATCGAAAAATATCAGATATATTTAAAGAGAGATATAACAAAATAATCTAGCAGAAAAAATCTATTAATTTATCTAAATTGAACAAAGATTTTTTTATTAAATTCCAAGAATTAAAGGGTAATACTAGCTCACATTTTTTAAATTCTTATCTCTAATCTTACTCTTAGAATTTATAGATTGATCACCTCTTAAAGATTGAGACGAAAGAACAGCCGTGATCTGAGAACAGTGATCTGTATGAAGCCTTGCTACGGCAGTGCTATGCTCTCGTGGAAGTCCCAATTGTTGCAGCTCACTGCTCAGGTCAGCAGCAGAAACGCCATAACGAGCGGAAGATGTAAAGATCAATTCGAGAGCAGCCACCATTGCCTTCGCATCATTCATATCTGATTATGAAATAAGAATATCTATACTTCTTTTATCCCTCAATTGAATATTTATCGCACAATTTAATTTTATGATCGTAATAATAATGATGTACTGAATATGTAATAATAATGGGATGCATTAAATATTACACGCACCAAGTTTAGCATCTTGTGTAATTTTCTTTATCTTTTCCTCCTAAAAAATTAGTACGATTAGAATCATTAAATATTCAAGAATCATTAAATATTCAAAATAGAAAATATAATATATGCGTACAAATTTTAAGCATAATAATAATTTTCCTTTACTTTATTTTTAACTTCTCAAGTAATTAAATTTAATTTATAAAAAATGATGCAAATCAAAGATTGTCTATTAATAATTAATAATATTGTTTATAATTGCTAATAGGAAGCATTGTTTAACATGATAAATTTTAGCAGTGCAATGTATGAATATTATTTAAAATAAAATTAATTTTCTTACTATTCTTATAATAATGTTAGTGACAAAAAAACGCATAATTTCAAGCTGAAAAAAATTAACGATAAAATGCAACTTACATCAAGTTCTCCTTCGGTCAAATATTTGGCCACTGCTTGGCCTAGCATTTTCATTTTAATTGAAGTCTAAAAATAAAATATTGTTTTGAAAAAAACTTTCTAAATGTTTCTAACTAGCAAGTTCTTTTTAATGCAATTACTTTAATTAATTTAGTACAATATTTAATACAATATTAATCTATGTAAATATATACATTCAAAAACAAGACTCTGTGTATATTAAATCATAAATAATACCATTCGGGAAAGTGTATTGATTTCCGCCAACAACCAATCTGGACAGTCGCCATCGCCAAGAAATCTGAATCTCTAATATAAAAAATATATAAAATATAAATAGATTTAAAAACATTAAAATTAGATAATTTACTCTTTATTTTATAAGTTTATAAGTTTACTTTTAGACAACATTTTATTTATTTGAAATATTACAATCTCGTAAAAAATCATTTTTGTAATATAATTTGCAATTCATAAAATGACTTTGTGAGTTAAAAATCTTACCATTTTGATCAATTTCCTAGTTTATTTTCACACTGGCTTTGTATTTTTATCTAAAAATCAAATTATAAGCACAATTCTTAAAAATTATATTATATTGTTATTACAATAACAAAATTAAAGGGATGTAAAAAGCAATATATAAGAAAATCATGACATCCTTGTTATAGTTTATGAATATAATATACATTCTTTCGAGAAAAAAAAAACGAGAGATTTTAAAATAAACATTTATACAAAATTATCGAATTCTGAGTCGTATTTGCCTTGTGCACTCTCACAAAATGTTTAACTAACATGACTGGAATTGATCATAGAGCCTTTAGCCCGTCTTTGAGAAATCTATATCAATCATAACGGAGTACAGTTCTGTCGTGTGCCCTCAAGAGAGAAAACAATGAGAACTTTTTTCTACTACGCTGCTTTTGCGCGATACCTTCCTTCTCTCTTTTTCTTTCTTACCGATAATATTTCTAATAAAATAAATATTATAAGAGACGTGGACGTCAGAATGTTTGCACTCGTTGGCGGAGTAGATTAGTGTGGGTATCCGCATCAGGTGAACGAATTCCCCATGCAATCCGCCTAATCCTTCGACCGCAACGGAGATGGCTCATGGGAGTTCGACCAACGAACATAAATACCAGAAGAGGACTCGGCCTATTGCCATTCTAGTCAAGGAAGTCGCGAACGCAGGACTATTCGCCAACAGGTGAACGCCGCAACAGGTAAAGAACTTCAATAACCATCAATTTAAAAAGCAGCAAACTCCTCTACGATACCAATAAACTGATACCAGTGCAACTGTGTTCTCACATCATTATCAAATATTAAGATTTAATAAGATTATTTTTTGATACAGAAAAACAATTATATTATGTTGATATGTTGATTTATTAAAAAATATAATCATTTTTCTCACCTTGACGATCTGTATCTTTCGGTTGGCAATTAATTTCGATAATGATAGACTAAATGTAAATCACAAGTGTAGATTTAGCAATTATTTTAAATGTATAAGCTTCTAATGAAGATCGGCGCTTGTTTTTAAATAGAATTTTATAAACCGACATTAATAAAACATTAATAATTTTCAATACTTTTCCTGTTTCACTTAATTTATAATTTTGATTATACTTTTAATTATAAATTTATTACTATCTAAATAAATTTTGATATTAAGATTATTCTAAAAAATACGTAATTAACTGTATTGTGATCTTGTAATGAAATACTTTGTATACACATTCTTCTATAGATAGTTAATGGAATTATATAGATAGGGTAGAAATGAAATGGAATTTCGTTCGACATGATCAACATCGATACTTATATCTTGTACGTCATTTAAGTTGAATGATTATAACAGATGATAAATATCTCCTTATATATTCATTCGAAAAAATTTGGAAAAATGTATCCTAAAAATAATAAGATGATGAAGTCATTTTCGAAAGACACAATTGTTATACTATAATAATATTGCGAAAACGCGATAAACTTATATAAGTATGAATTATCTTTTAGCAATGAAGAAGATATTATTCGCCACAACTTTACTATCAATAGCAATGTCTGAAAATATTCTAGTAAGTAAAATATTCTTTATAATTTTTTTTCAATATATCATACACACAGACACACAACTGTTTTATTGAAAATAAAGATATATTATTTAGAAAAAGTATTTAAAAAAGTGCCTGTAAAAGTGTCGATTTCAATAATAATTACCTAAAAAAATTTATGATTTTTAAACATTTTATAATAACTAAAATTCGATATCAATGTGCATAATTGTTTTTATTTCGAGAAGAACTATCTGAGGCCAAAAACAATATGGGTCCACGACAAGCAATTTGGGAATAAAAAAATAAAACGGACATCACTAAACGAAATGTTTTCCGAAGTGGGAGACCTTTCAAATTACGACGATGACAGACAACTTCCTCAAATTTCAACACGGTTCATTAGCAAATCCAGAAAATTGCCTGCATTAACGTTTGTGAGGTAATAGCGATTACAATATAATATAATAAATATGTATTTAATGTAATAAATATGTATTTAATGTCCTACTTATGCGTTTAGAGATTCATATAACATATGCTAATGTAAAAATGAAAAATTATATATATATATATATATATATATATAATTCTATTTTATATATAATAAATTTCCAATTTATCCAATTAACCTTCAATTAATCCAAAATTATTTACTAATATTAAAAAATGCGAATAAAATTTTGAAACAATTGATTTAAAATTGATTCGAACAATTGTCGATACAGTTGAACAAACAATATATATAATAAAAATGAAAACGAATAAAAAAATAATTTCGTTGCAGGTCGTCTGATTTGGCGTTGCTTCCACAAGTTGAATTATTATCTTCCGATAAACCAAAACTTGATAATGCCAAACCGACTGTCTTGATTTCTATCGACTTTCAAGAAGGGAAAAATGACAATTTACAAAAAGATTGCTCGAGAATAAATAACCATCATAAGCAAAATCATGGCTGGCAGATTCAAGAACCGTTTTATGTGGACGAGCCAAAATGGATTAATATCTATGACATAAAAGGTTCACCTCAACGTCTATATAAGGATAATTCCGATCCTTACATATTGTCACGAGGAAAGAAAATTTTTAAAATTAAGGATACAGAACAAGCGAAAGAGATGATGGAAAATTATGAAGATTTCTCCAACAAATATCCAAGCAGAAGTAAAAGATCGTCAACGAAAAATCGAGTCAGAAGATCTATCGTAATAAATGAAAAATATCAGAATAATACGATTAATGACACTCAGAAAGATCTAAAAAAAGAAATAAATTATAACTTTCTCCAAGATACAGATTCAAATAATGTTATAATGACCAAAAGTCAGGATAAAAAATCTTTCAAAATTGATAAAATGTTTGAAGATAGAAAGAATATGGAAGATACTACAAGTTCTGTTTATAATACCTTTATTAAAAAGTATCAAAAAGATAAGATAAAAAATATGGCGGAAAAATTACCATATGAATTTAAATTTATAAAGGGAAATCAAACATTCGCAAATGATGAAAAAATTATAAGCTTTGTTGAGCAAAATCAGAATATACAGCGCGAAGATATGTTCAATCATATTAAAAATGACAACAGTAAAATCATGAAAATTAATCAAGATACAAAATTTAATAATCCGGAGGATCTTTTTACTACTAACACGAATAAGAAAAATAAAAGATCAGTAATATTAAAAAATAAAAATTTCTTCGACGTTCATAATAAATATAAACCTCAGAAAATGGAGAAGAGCTTTGAAAATGTCAAAGGGAATGAAACAGATGTGTACGAGCAGATGAAGAATAAAGCTTACATCGATAAACTAGATGATTTAAATATGTACAATGATTATACTTTTATCTCTAGCAAGAAAAATCCTGATAACAGAGCAGAGAGTTCGAATAAAAAAGATATAGATCATAACAAATCCATCGAAAAACCATGGAAAATTCAATATTTTGCGTATCGCAAAGAATTGGAAAACGCGGAGAAATTAAGGAATGAGAAGAATGAGTCAATAATTGATCAAAATGACACCCAGGTAACAGATTTGCAATTAACAAGCAAGTCTGATTCCAGAATAGAGAATTATTTCAATCATCGAAAAAAGCGTAGTGCTTGCGAGAACTGCAAAATTGATCCGCAGCTTCAAGATCAATGGTTAAAGGATATGAAGAAAGAAATTCAAGATTCATTGTCTTTAGAGAGGAGAAACAAGCATAGTGATATTCTGGAGGACTTATCGCTATATGAGCCTTACGTTATTTCCCGAGGTAAGAAAGCCTCGCAGGGATTCGAAAACAATATCTACTCGATGTTGGAGCCACGAAATTTGAATGATGCAGGTCGCATCAAAGCAACGAGTTTCCCATTAACACGAGCTCTCCTGAGAATGTTATTAATGGAAATGTCCAGGTGTCATAACTGTGAAGTTAATACGAATCGCTTATCGAACAAGCGATCACCAAGAGATCGACGTGGTTTGCTCGATGAAATCTTGACAGCATATGATCCATATTACGTAGTCAGAGGAAAGCGGATAAATCTAGATAAATATTTGGCCAAAATGCGAAATCAGAAGAGCGCCTCAATCGAAACAGATAAAAAATAATAGGCTTTAAGAGACACGTTATACGAAAACATCATTTTTGATCCCGATAACGTTCGATAAAAAAAGCAAACACATTAAAAAAAGCAAATATTCCCCATCATAGCTCTATTTGACTTAATCATGGTGCAAATATGGCAATCTGCGCATCATTTTCCAAATGACATACATATATCGAAGCACAATTATTAGCGAATTATAAAACGTGTTTCGTAGTAGTAAAAATAAAGTTGAAAAGAAATTGCCTATGTAATGTTAAAGCTTCCGAAATGAGATTCTATAAATGCAAAACCTAAGAAATAGATGTGAAATTCAGAAAAAATGTACGCAATTAATACGTAAATAAAATGCTCATATATGATTTATTCATTTAAATTCGATGATATTTATCATACATGTTATAAATATTAGAAAAGAATAGATGAAATAATGTATAAATATGATGAAAAGAAAATGACTTTCATTGCAATGTATTAAGAGAATAAAAATGAATATATAAATATTAAAAGTTAATTAGTATGTAATTATAATATGTAATTTATTTCATATCTGTGAAGATAAGTTAAATATTAAAGAGACTCTTGTACACATGCCTTGTTTTGATTTTTTGACTAATTATTGCATATATATATATAATTAACGCATCTATAAATTTATATTATTATTTCTACAATAATAAATTTAAAAAACTGACAATTACTATCGCGATTATTTATAAACAATATCCTACTTAATGAAAACAAAAATACAAGATTGCAGATAAAGAAGGAAATATTTTGCTATTTAGATACATATAAAGTATTTTTATATTTTATACATTAAAAATATTCGTATTTTTTTCTATATTTCCTTTTATTATTATCGTAGAATATAACCTATAAAAACACAATTACTGAAAAGCATTCTGTTTCCGTCTTATAGAAAATATTTTTATTCTTTAATAAATATTCTATGCGTATCACAATAACGATTATTTATAAGGTAACTTATAAAATAAGAATACAGTTACCTGAATATCGATATTTGTAAAAATTAACACTGATTGACATTTGCACAAACCACAAGGAGGTTAAGATTGTGACATTTCTATCAAGTCGATAAATTAGAAACCTGACGTTTTTCGCAAGCCAAGTTTCGTTTAGTACCGCTCTCTGTGTTTATTTTAATGATCACGAGAATCACGTAGCAAAATTATTTTTCGACTCTGCTGATAAAATCGTCATCAGGTTGGTGTCCACGCTACATCCATATTATGGATCAGAAACACTCTTATGTAGTTAGTCAAACATACATCATTAGTTGCACGCAATTTCTTTCTATATCTCCAGCATATATTTCAGATAAAAATACATATTATTATATATTCGATAGGGGAAAAAAATTATTTTGAATAATTAAATAATTTTCACGTATAATATTTTACATTTACTGTTAATTATTAACTTGTCAATATCACACAGCTGTTTTTTGATTTCTCAAATAAAAGTATTATATATGTATATTAGTGATTTATTATGGTATCAAATTAATTAATAGCAAATTCATTTTTTCTAAATGTATCGATAAATTTACACTAACTTAACTTGAAAATAAATTATTGTTCAGCGATCATTTATAACTAATTTTAATTAATAATATGTATAAAATTTCTACTGTAAATATTAATGATTACACTAAATTAAATGCAAATGTTTTACAAAAGTAATTTCACTTGTTAACAAAAATATTACTAATAAAAAATTTACAATATTACGATATTACATATACACAGAAACATACATGTCATACAGATAATTAAATCTTCATTTAAAACTGAAATTGAAAGCAATGATCTTTCCACGTGATATTTAATCGAGAAGCACCGTTAACATTTAAAAAATATATCATAAATCTATATCATGTTACATATTTTGTGCGTATCAAATATAAACAATTATTATATTACTGTTTACGATTATCATATTACGTTGATGATAAAGATCACTATGTCAATAACATCTTCATTTAATTTCAACAGATTGCAACAGTATGAGATAAAAACTATGTACTATTAGATATGCGTAGACATATTTAGATTGACGTTTTCTCTTACGCAATTTTTTGAATAATTGTACAGTTAGTAAATTATTAGAAGAGGAACTCAGCAAATACTGATATGCTGATAATTTGTGCTGTATCATTATGTTAAATGACAATCATAATTATAAACATGTTTTATAGACTATTAAAAATGCACAGGCATATAGATAATAATAATCAAAAAATATTGATTGCACTTTAAAAAGTAATGTTAGCTGAGCTTAACGAAATAATATATATTAATAGATGACATGTATAACATAATTATGCTGTAGTTGAAAAATAAAAGAAAGTTACTAATTATATTTTTTTTATATTTAAGTAAAATAATTATATACATTATTAATAATAATAATAACTTTTATATAATAATTTATATTTTAATATTTTTAAATAATAATATTATAATGCGAATCATATTTTTAGATACAAAATTTTTATTATATTTACAATGTTCACACAATTTCCAAGAAAAATAAATAAAATGCTTGGAAATCTCTATTAGGCTTTTATAAACACAGCTCCATATGGGTTAACAATTTCGTATGGCCTTGTTACTTAATCAAGAAGAATCAAGAAAATATTTGCAAAAGAGTAAGAGAGAAGAGAGAAAACAGAAAAGAAATAGCTATCAAGCATACATAAATAGTCTGGTATATTCAAGCTTGAAATTCGTCAGCGAAAGCAAGTACATAAAACAAGAGTCATTCCTATTACTTTGTTAATCATGTTAAAAAAATTGATTTTTTATTGTACTTTAATAGGATTTGCGACAGTATCAAATTCATTATCGATTTTACTGCTACAACCTATACCATCAACCAGTCATCATGTTTGGACGATGAATTTATTGAAGGGACTGCTCAGCAAAGGTCATCACGTACACATAGTCAGCATCCATGAACCCAATATCAAGGGAAAACTCGCTCAGAATATGACATACGCTGTAAGTATATGTTATAAGAAATTTGAATATATTCTCTAGATTACATATAATTATTATATTATATTGTTATCATAAATAAATAAATAAATAAATAAATATATATATATATATATATATATATATATATATATATACAGGGTGAGGCATCTAAAACAGGCCACCTGAATAACTCCGTTGGTAAGCCGAATACAAAAAAATTGTTCAGACAAAAGTTGTATGGTTTCAAGGAGGACATATGATGGTGTCATTAGTTTAATCTTGAAGAGCCACCCGAAGGTCACGTGAAGGTCAGCTCCAACTTTTTAAATTGGACACCTTATATGCTTTTGCATATTCTTGTAGCTCATCTCAAGAGCTTTCCAAAACACTACAATTATGTTAGTTTTCATTGAGTACTTTCCAAGTTATGAGGCTTGAAATCATTTTTTAATTTTACATAAACCGTAAAATATCTTGTAAAATATTCATTTTTCGATTATTTTACCTTAATACTTTTATGTACAAAATAATGAGAGGAATCAATCGGTGTAAAGAAAACATACAGTTGTTTTTAACAAAAAATATGGAATTGTTAATTGCAAATTCCATATTTTTTCTTAGAAACAACTATGTGTTTTCTTTATACCAATTGATTCCTCTCATTATTTTGTACATAAAAGTATCAAGGTAAAATAATCGAAAAATGAATGGTTTACTAGATATTTTACGGTTTATGTAAAATTAAAAAATGATTGCAAGCCTCATAACTTGGAAAGTACTTAATGAAAACTAACTTAATTATAGTGTTTTGGAAAGCTCTTAAGATGAGTTACAAGAATATGCAAAAGCATATAAGGTGTCCCATTTAAAAAGTTGGAGCTGACCTTCACGTGACCTTCGGGTGGCTCTTCAAGATTAAACTAATGACACCATCATATGTCCCCCTTGAAACCATACAACTTTTGTCTGAACAATTTTTTTGTATTCGGCTTACCAACGGAGTTATTCAGGTGGCCTGTTTTAGATGCCTCACCCTGTATATATATATATATATATATATATATATATATATATATATATATATATACAGGGCGTCCCGAAACTCATAATCAATTTTTCAAAGACAGATTCCTGGAATCATCTGAAGACGATTTTTCCTCAACGAAAATGTCAAGGCACTAATAATTTTCGAATTATAAGTGATTGGAAATAAGGAGTTTTTCGTAAACTAAGCTTTATAGAAATAAAATATTAACAAAACCACATTCTTCGATTAATTTTAAGTAGAGTTTACTTTGGTTGAGTTTTAATTTAAGGCTTAATTGCAAAGATATATGATGACAAAAATCAGGAACACGCAAAAAATGATGGCCTTCATCGACATTTTCGCTGAGGAAAAATCGTTTTTAAATTGGCCAGAGAATCTGCCTAAATAACGGTAGTTTCGGGACACCCTGTATATATATATATATATATTATATATATATATATATATGCAAACATATTCAGTGCGCAATTTAAATCGACAGTTTACAATAATGTGGCATACAAATAGCAAAAGAAGCGCAAATGCTGCGTTAATTTATTTATAATATCTAATTACTATATTTACTAGTTAAATAATATCTAATAATTTATAAACGTAATGATAAAATAATAATAAAGTAAGAAATAATAAGTTTACGATGATGTCATTATACACATTCATTGTTACATGATTATTTCGATATTATTTCTACTAATTATTTCTACTAATACGTCAATACATTAATGTAGCAACCGTGCAAACTTCGACTTCGCATAATATTGTTTCCTAAATTCCACACCATATCATTTTTATCCAGCATAATAATATATACTTGTGATTTTTAGATTTTTGATATAATGCAACAATTGCATGAAGCTGAGGATTATAATCCAAATGATTGGGAAAAGTTTAATACATTTCAGACGATGTATCTTTACTATAATAGTATAGGATTATCAATTTGTGAAAAAATAGTTGAAACTAAAGAAGCGAAAGAACTTTTGGAAATGATAAAAAATATTGAATTTGATGTCATAGTACACGGTATTACGTTACTTCAATGCATGTACGGATTGTGGGATGTAAGAATAAATAATCAACAAAAAAATAAACATTAAAGTGTGTGTACATAATATAAATTTTAAATCACAGTTTATACATAATGTATAAACTATGATTTAAATAGAATTAAATGTAATTTCTCAATTAGCAATAATAATAATATTAATAATACTAATAATAATAACAACAATAAA